TTTATTTGGTTTATCGTTGTAAAGAAAGAGTGTGAACAGTGTTTTTGACTGTCCAGTGAGATATGACTGATTACATAACAGTTTTTTTATATTTCATTACATATTTAAAATATATAAAAAAAATATTTTAGGTTGTTTTGGTTCTTTTATCTTTTATCTTTTTATATAAATTGGCATTGTACAAACCCACTGATTACAATTTAATTCCCATTCTTCTTTGCAAAACATTCTCCAAAACATAACATCATTTTTTATTTCCTGTCTCTCTCAGACATCCTTGGATTCCATTCATTTTACTGTGCCACAAAAATCTACTCTCATACCGCAAACCTCATGGTGGTACACTCAAGGATGCTCTGACCTCCAGACTTGTGAGCGTGCTGTCAGAAAGCACTGCAATAATGAGGTGTGTTGTCAACATTTCTTCTGAAAGTCTCAGATGCCATTTTGTCCTTGTCCATCAGGTCTACAGGCAGCTGACTAAAATGCTGTAGGCTTCAGGGTGGTTTTGTACATATGTAAGGTTATACTGCCTGCAACCATAAAGATCAGACAGAGAAGAGGAGATAGTGTGGAGTTTTTTGTGGATTTCTTTTATTTTTTTTATTTTTGTAATTTCTGACAGAGCTCTTATGATTTATATATAGGTATATTTATACTATACTTACAGATAATAAAAAAAATCTTAGGTTTAATACAAATAGAGATAGTACAGGTTTTTATTTACTTTTTGGTGATTGTCACATTATGTGTACTGTTTTTAACACAAAGAATTTATTGACACATACAAATTAAAGTCCCCCTCCACTCAAAAAAATGTTTATCTTCTTGCTCCTACATGTCTGTGCAGAGTTTGACACTAGAAGGATGTTTGAACATTCGTCTGCAAGCATGACTCACACATAGTTTAGAAGTCTATCGCGGTTCAGTATGCAACTTTTACAAGTATGATGAAACTTGAATCCATCAGTGCCCATACACCGAGGATCGACTTTACAGCAAGTAAAATACAAATAGGAAGCATCTTCTGTCCAGCAGGAAAACTTTAGAAATGAACAAACTTTGTATATTGATTTGAAGAAGAAGATCCATTTTTAAAGAACAATAAACTGAATTATATGACTGTACTATGATAAAACACACAACTGACATTATTACCAAAATTATGAAAATCAGCATTTTGTAGGTCGAAAATGGCTCAACACGCCCTCTATTGTTTTATATCATCATGAGCCTTCTAAGTCCAGTGTTAACCGTTTGGGGGCCTCTACATCATGGCGATTATAGTCAGAGGAGGGCACCCCACCTCCCCCAGCCTTAGCTTTGAGTGGGAGTCTGTGAAACCGCTACACTCATTTTCTAACGTACACTTATCGTGATACATCAGTCACAGGGGTTTATGGTGGTTTTTGCTGACACTCTACTTAGTTTTTTCCTATGTTTTTACAGTGGTCCGGACTTTAAATGGCTGCAAAAGCACCAACAGACTGCAAAGTTTACCTGATCCCATGCACTGACAGCCCCCCACACACATATACCGGACAGTGGCTCTCTCTAAGCTGTCACAGCCGCTAGCAAAAACTTTTACAAAGTTCCGTGAAAGGTTGAGTAACTGTAAAAGCTCCACCGGACTCTCTTTGTGTCCAGCGCAGACATGGAGAGTCTGACATGGCTGGTTAACTCTGACTACCAGCTTCGCTGTTCCTGCTAAACTACTGTGATCAGTCTGTCAATCACTCCGGTCTGTGTTGAGGCCACGCCCCCAGAATTGCAGGGTGTAGTTACACTTAAAGTATTTTAATGTGGAAATTATCCTTTTTTTTGCAGTAAAAATATATCAGACACACATTATTGTTCTATGCAGACTATTTGTATGTGTTTTAACACATGTCTGAAGGGGCTCTTTAAGCACAATCGTTATATTATTTTCTATTGCCATTGCCAATATTGCCATATTCAGCTAAAAATTGTGTTTGTAGCTTAAAGCTGCAGTAGTCAAAACCTGTGCAAACGTGCAAAACCTTCTGCCTCTCCCAACAGCTTTTTATTCAGCGCATATGGAAAAATCTCTCTGGCTTTCTCCCTAATGTAACTGTTAAAAGCTGCTCTCTAACATGCAAAAAGCCATTGTATGCTTCCTTTACAGTATGAAACAATGAAAAACCAGTTCCAGCAGAAGAGATTCATATATATTTCTTAGGAGCTTTGTGACAGAACCAGGATTAAAAGGCTGTTAATAGATTTGATTCAAACAGAGGGTCAGAAAGAGACTTAATGGCACACTCATGTATCCGCTACATGTGTAAGTGCAGTTTTTTACCTAGTTACCTAAAGGAACAAGCTAAAGGACGGTTTGAATTTGTTTTTGAACCTTTCTATCTCTGAATGGTAAAAAAAAGACTTAATCTATAATAACCCATAGAAATCTGTAATTCTATTCAGGTGTGTTCCCTCTCAATTGCATCATATCTCCTAAGCGCATGCATCAGCATTGGGGTTGTCTCCTAGAAGCTGTCATAAATTCATTTTTAAATCTTGGTTGTTTATATATTTTAACTGGAAGAAAGGAACAACAGAAACACACATTTTTAAGATGAAACTACTTTATTAAGTGTTTTTATTGGTTTTAATCAATGGGTCCATTCTTTTTAGGGGGGGGGGGATCTCTGCGGATAATTTGGCTCTTGGTAAATCCTCTGGAATGTCTGGATCTCAATAAAACTGAGGATGCAATCTTAAAGGGTTAAAATGACATTTTTCATTTCATCTTGACTTTAAGTTATCAGAGAAAAGAACTGAGCTGACGTTAGCAGCAGCTCGGCTGGCCTCCGAGACGTCCCTTGTCTTCCATCTTCCTATGCGTGGCGAACAGCAGCGAAGAAGCTTCTTTGTGAGAAATAGAAAGAATGAAAAGATTTATACCTGATATCTGTCAACTACTTAAGATTTATCAGTTCCCCCAGCCAAGAAATGGTTCCAGCAAGTAACTCCCATAAGACCAAGTTGTTGATAATTATTTAATGATTATATAAACAAGATGCATCAGGTTAATTAGTGAGCTTTAGAAGTGTTGATAGGCACATTATTGCAACTTGGACAGGGCCAACCTAGCCATTTTCCTCTGCTTCCAGTCTTAATGCCAAGCACAGCTCTTGTTTCATACTCAACAGACAAACAGGAGAATGTCTCTCAGCATGAAAGGGACTAAGTTTCCCAAAATAAATATTCCTTTAAAGCTGTTGGTGTTTCCTCGTTCTAACTCGTTAAACCAATGACTTGCAGTAGTCAGTTGTTGTGAGCAGATAAGGATCCATTTCTTTTAGCTGGATAACAGTTTAATCAACAGATTAAATGTGTGTTGGTATCATTGATTATTGCATCTATCTTGGGTAATACTGATTAATCATTAATTACTAAAAATAAACTCATATAGAGGCAGACATGGACAGTTAATATTGGGATTTATTTTATTGCCCGCAAGTTACAGCATTTGAGTCGGTAAAGGCTTCCATGTTCCCATATATCACTTAAAGCACACTGCAGAGGTTTTGATTGGTGCCATTAAGCCTCTTTCACTGACTCAATTCTTCAAGAGATGGGCAAGTGGGTGGGCACAGATTGGCTGTGACATTACCACAGATGGAATCCTGTGGCACATGACGTTTTGATGGAGGAATAATTGAAGCATATGAGAGAGACGATCATCAGAATGTAAACATCAATTACCAGTTGGGTGCATAAGCACACGTGGCAAGGGGTTCTAGCTGCTCGTGCAATGTGCGAAAGCTAGAAATCATATCTTTCATGATCTTTTACTGACTTTAGGATTTGTTGTAAAGGAAACAATTTCAATGTTTGCAGTAGCTGTGTGCTATTAACTAGCTGGAAACACTTTATAGATAGTGTGGGCAGGACACAGACTATGGTAACATCTAAAAATTACAAATTAGGCACTGTATCTTTGTATTTCTTGGTAGGTATTTTTTTTAATGTCACATCACTTGCATTCTGTGTAACATTTGTTCATCTGCAAGTGCTGTACAAAACATGTAATATTCTTATCAATTACATTTCATATAGAGAGGATGAAGTAAAGAAATGCTGCAACTTGGTCAAGAAATAAAAGTAACACTAAAACAAAACCCCTACTAATAGAAGAGTAGACAAACTGATTAAGGCCAGCTCTGTCCTGGGTTACCCCCTCGACTCAGTGCCAGGTTGGTGGAGAGAGAGGGTGGACTTGATATCATCTGAATGCGACAATGTCTCCCACCCATGCAGGACACCCCCCCTGCCGCGCAGTCTCGTGCATCAATAATAATTAATCATTTTGGTGCAATAACAATGTGTGCCAATAAGTACAATGCGACAATAATTAGTGCAACTTTGATTGCCCATGTGGCAACTGCTGCTAGGTATTGTGGTGTTATTCTGTTGTTGTTGGGTTTTTTTTTTTTTAAGTTTTTTCTTTGTGCAGTGTAGTGTAGTATTATATCAGATACTTCATTTTTTCAACTCTTCACTGTTCTTTATACCTTTTTATTTTCTCTATCCACTTTGCTGCTGCAACATCGGAATTTCCCCATTGTGGGACAAATAAAGGAATATCTTATCTTAATAAATAGAAATAAAGATACTATCATATGGTTCTCTTGCACCACCTATTGGCGCATTGTCAAAAATACACATCACATGCAGTATTTACACTAATGTAGAAGTTAAATTGCTGACTGAATAACTGCTATATTTAAATTTAAACCTCTCCTTTGAGGACCTCTTCCTGGTTCTGGAGTGATTTATACATGGCTTTATGAGTACTATCCTGCTAATGTGCTACTTCAGTGACTACTACTGCTATTAATAATAATAACAATCACCAACCAGTGGGACTTTTTGGTAAAATTTATTTTGCAAGTGTTTAGGTGATACATGTTTCCAGGGATTGTCTTAACAATGATGTCTTCCACCCCCACCCCCCACCCCACCCCCAACAACCAGGAGAGTAAATGAAAAGAAATTTTAGTTTTTACTTTTCACACAAACTGTACAATATATGAATATACTGTAGCACAAGGGATACAAATGTTCAACTTGAGTACCCTTGATTAGAGCCAAACATATTCCATCAAGTGTCAGAAACAGACAAAAGTACTACCAGTACTAGTATTTGTCTTTAACTTCGTACTTCCACTATGGTTTTATCAAAGACGTATCAACTCTAAAATCAAATTCAGAGATTTTTAACAAACGTACAGTGTTTATTTGTTCTCTTTTTCTTTAAAAAGACCTTCTCATGTGCTTCAATTCTCTAACCCTGAACACATCAACATTGTCATCAGCGGGAGCTGCTCTGGGGGAGCCAGCTTCAGGAGAGATATACATATCATGCTCCAAGACATATGAAGGCATTTCATACAATCAAATATATGGATTAAAAACAGTCAGTTAAACCGGTGTTTTACAGAATATTTGCAGAAGCAATCACAGGGACTAAGGCAGATAAAATGGAAATTATTGTAAAAGACTAGCTAAATTAAAAGAACAGCACTATGTGCAGCAAGACGTGTTTGAATGGCATGAGTCATCTAAAAGAAAAAGCATCAGATCAATGCTTTTTCTTTTAAGTGAGTAATAAGTACCTCTCTTTGAGTGGTCTTTTCCGTTTTATTTTCGAAGACCTTTCTTTTGCTTATAAAGTGAAGAAACCAATGAAAAGAGATGTGGCAGAGAATAGACATAAACCAGAATACAAAAAAATGGCCATTGAGTTCAGCCTTCATCTTTTGTGGTATTTTCCTCTAGATCCTGATCACTGTCTAAATCACTGTGGAGCCTCTTGGGCATGGTATTTCTGCTTCTCTCATCCTCATTCCCCTTCTTTAGCTGGACTGGTAATGGTTTCACTGGTTGCAAAATGAGAAAACGTAATGCAAAAACATTAATTTCAAATGCTCCAGTAATCCAAAGTTAAGTAATTAAATGCAAGGACAACTAGCAAACAATAACTGTATAGATTATTATTTGTAACCAGAATGTGTGTCCTCATCTTTTTTTTGCTTTCAATTGGTCACCAGCAACCTTTCTGATTGTTTGTGCTTTAACTCTCACCTGCTGATGGGACAAATTGGTCTTCAGCTCCGCCGCCATTATCGCTGTGACTGGCGCTAACCGTCTGTTTCTGTTCCTCGTCTGTGACAATTCTCTGTCTCGCGCTCTCGAAAACAGACTTAATGACAATTGAATCCTCATAAATCTGAAGTTGTAAACAAAGACACATGCGGCACACACACACACACACACACACACACACACACACATACAGATAAACAGAGCATGGGTTTTTCTTCACCACATTAAGATCCAAGCCCATTTACAACCACAATAATAGAGACTGTGGAAAAACAATTTAGTTGCTTTCAAATGAAATAAATCCTTGGGGTTCACCTGAGATCCCTCCAGGTTATAAGTCTGAGCATTGTGACACAGGAGGAAAATATCCTTTTCCAAATCCCCCACACTTCTGTACTTGTGATTACGCACACGTTCCTGTGAAGCAGAGGGACAGTATCAAAACAACAATCAGCTATCAATAAAGCATTTAATAAGTAGGCTAATAGTCCAAGAAAGAAAAAAACAGAAACACAGATAAAGTTTCACAATAACGCTGTCTCTCATCTTTAAAAAATAGTGAGGCATTTTATGCGTATTTGCTTTCTTGACGAGCATTAACTAGATGAGAGGATCAGTACTACTCTCATGTCTGTTTGTAAATATGTAAATATTAAGATGGCACCAGGAGGTTAGCTTAGCATTAAGACTCAAAACAGAGGGCAACAGCTAGCCTGGCTCCGTCCAAAGTCGTCCTACCAGCACCTCTAAAGCTCACTAATGAACGCATTGTTCATCTTGTTTGTTTAATCCATACAAATGCTGAAGTTATAGGTTTATTTCTTGGCCAGGCCCAGTGATCTCCTGGACTCTCCACTGGTTGCCTGGCAACCTCACGGAGCTGACGAGACTCCAGGATGGCTAGCTGTTTCTCCCTACTGCTGGACTGCTAATCTTTGCTAATCACCTGCCCATTCTAGCTACCTGGTTAATGCACAGACATGACAGTGGCATCAAGACTCCAGTCATGTAAGATTAGGGAAGTCAGTGTTCGGATCATCTTAAATGTAATGATTTTCTCAACAATTCCACCACCTGAAATCTGACACGTTCAATTCCAAATTTTGACAGTAGGTGTCACTTTGGGCTGATGAGTATATGGTTAGAGTAATCATTTAGAGAAGGACATGTCTGGTGGTATTTTGTATTTTTCTTACTGTCAACATATTCTATGAAAAGACCCAAGCAAACAATTTTGAGTCAATCCCATATGCTGCTGTAATACTCACTAGTGCACCAATATGTATTAATCTGCCACTGGAAATAGTTCCCAACAAATACACTGTTTGCTCCAGTTTGAGTAATGTTAGCTGAAGACTACAGTGCCCTGTTTTATAAATGTTACAGAGACTTTTGACAATAATAAGAATAAAGAAGCATTTACCACTTTGTTGGAATTACCCTTTCATTACACAAGTACACTTTAGATTCTGAAGTTTGCAACTTTTTAAAAGTTTAAAAAACAGTTTTTTTAGTAACAAAATGTTGAAGAGGCAACTGCCTCAGTGTTATGTGGGCATAAATATTTCAAGCTTGTTAAATGAAGCCGTACCTGTGTTTGTGCCATAGTTTTCAGTTCCAAGTAGCTACGAACTAAAGATGCTTCCAAGTACTACAATTCAGTTTCTCTATTTTAACTGTTTTCTATTAGTTTTCTGTCACCTGTCACATGTCACCATGTAAAATGTCTTTGAGTACCCTTTAAAGTGCTATATAAAATAAATGTATTATTAGTTGATAGCCTGATATTCATGTCAGGTTTTAGGATTTTTGGAGTCTATCCCATTCATGGTGCCATTCAAATGTGTTGACTAGTTAGCTGTTGTTGATTGGTGTGTGTGTCTTATACATTATATTGTGTCAAGAAATGAAGATACAGTCTTCTTTTGCAATTATGCTAATAGAGTATATAGAATATAAAATATATAAAAATATATGTAGGTTCTGCAGATTAATGTAAAATAAGAAATAGCACATGTGCAATTGGTTGCAGCTTCGAAGCTAGTCTTCAACCTTTTTTGCCAGTGCTTCCTGGCCTTAGGAAGTCTAAGTATATTGTATACAAGTATAGTACACATTAGATATATAGTATTATTCTATATATATTTAAAATGTAATGTAGGGCTGCAGAAAATCTTATTGTAATTACTTTTATGGATATTGCGATTGCAATATGATTCACAAGTAGTGAGGAAATTATCATTTTTGCATCATAACACATGTTTTTGGTGTTTATATTTAAATTGTAATACTCAAATATATATATATATATATATATATAATAATAATTCAAAGTGGATAATTCAAAGAAATAAGATCTGATATATGAAAAATACACACTGTAGGCCTACCTAAGCATTATTTACATAATTTCTCAGTGAGTACTTACCAAGAGGTGTTTTGATATTTAATATAGACACTTTTCTTTTTATGTATTATAGTATCTGTTGGAGTTTCATCTCCCTTTATTTGAATTTCTTTCAGCAGATAACAATACTATATGTGAGTTCTGAGGGTATTCAGTGACACGTACTCTGATCCTTCTGAAGTCCACAGGCTTTCGGATCAGCTCGTAGTACTCTGGTACCTCCTTCTTAGAGGGAAGCTGCACAAAGCCTTTACTGATCTGTCGACCCAACCTGGAAGCACAATTTGATATCACATAATCTCACTTGATCAAGAAACTGTTTGATCAACATGTCAGTATAGGCTTGACATTTATGGAAGCCCAGAATGGCCATGGTGACTACTATCTTGGAGTGTCAAATAAAAGTTAGATATATATGATTCAATCACATTGTTATCTGCAATTATCAAATATTGTTTTCCAACAGTCACCATTTAAATATCTTCTTATCTCTAAGTGACAAAGTTGCCACAATCCCAACTTGATTGCTACACTGATATTGCATAGCCTGACAGAAATGATACAAACAACAAAAATATGTCTTGATCATTTAAGAAAAGACTCATATTGTTTGATTGGAGTAAGGAAACACTACTGAAATGTGTACCTTTCAGCTCAATGCAATTATAAGTGGTACGTGAAATTATGCTTGAACAGCAAAACTGCAATGTGAAGATTTACAATAAATAATCGGCTATCAATAAAGCATTTAATAAGCAGTAGTACAAGAGAGGGTATAAGTGAAAAAAGTAAGTGAATTGATGCTTGAACAGCAAAGACAGAAGTTGTTGTGGATGTGTGTTACTTATTTCAGTCAGTTAATACAAAACTTGAAAGATGCGACAGAAACAGAAATGTTTTTCTGATCTCTATTACTGGATTTATGCAGTTCATTTTGGTGGTTTGAAATGCCTCCTCTGTTTTGAACAGACATTATTCGCATTGCTAACAACCCCAACAAATATACTGTCCATGAACAGAACGTGAGGTGAATGTTAGAGGTGGTGTCACTGCATACAAAGTAAATGGAAAGGGCAAACAAACTCAAAGGGAGCGGTGCAAATTGAGTTTTTGCATGTGTCTTCATACGTACACTAAGACAAGACGACTAACGGGAGACTGTACGGGAAATTGCAGAAAGAACTGGAGATTCTGATGAGATCAATCAGAGGTTGAGCTAAACACAAAAATACATAGATACACACCCATACACACAGTTGGTGGATCTCTTGCTGGCTTACAGCTAAAGTCTGTAGCAGGGCTGTAGACTCTTAGTCCTATTACAATATTTGTTTAAAAAATATTAATATTGGACATTTTGAGATAACTATAAAATGAACTTCTTGGGGGTAAAGGGCTTTAAAATAAACATGATAAAACTGTACTTTATTAACAGTATTGTAGTATAATGAAGCAATGGATTCATGTTCATAAAGAGTAGTTTGATATCTTCACTGAAGTCATTATGTTGTGATTCTGTGTGCATAACTGGCCCAAACAATTAGTAACAAGGAATCGTTGCTTCCATACATCACTGTGTAAAGATTTATGTCAAAGTAAAACATGCATTTGGACTACCACTCAATTATAGTTGCAGCACACTTTTATGACACAGTCCACAAAAAATTGAGTGTCCTCACCCGTCCTTGTAGTTGATAACCATATCAACCAGCGTGCTCAGTGTTCTGGTGAGTTCAGGTGGGTTTGGAGGCAGTTTCTCGGCTGGTGGGCGTCCTCGCTTCCTTTTGACCTTTTCGCCAGTTTCCTGCCCGGTCTGCACTTCTTTCTCTCCATGATGATCGCTTTTACGTTTCTTCAGACTGATGTCCTCTTCCATCTCCTCCAGGGAACCGTTCTCTCTGACCTCAGGCTGCAGGAAGAGGGAGCGATGAGTTGGGACATTTAATAAACTCTAACTAAGTTATCGGCGTAGAGGAAGGTGAATGAAACATTGTAGGATAAAAACATGTATATATTGTGCACACAGAGCCTGTCAGGTTTTCATTTTGTTGTTCAGTTCATACCTCTGCATGACAAGGACAATAACAACTCGGGAAAGGGAAGAAAGAAGGAGAGCTGTGATGGATTTCAATAAAAAAAAAACTCTTCCATTTCCATTTATTTAAAGTCTTCCTCTGACTTTCATGTGACAGCTGGGATGCTCAGAAACTACTGTATATGTTTTCAAACACTCATTTGCCACAAAGACAGAAACCTGAAGCACTTCAGACAAGCTACAGAGTCTAAAACCCTCAAATTCAGGCACTTGCAGTCTCCAGCTAATTAGCAGTACTGGCTGGAGTTTAAGCATTCTGAATTACAGCGGGTATGGTTTGGTATTAAAATGAAAGCGGGTTTATTTATTTATTATAACAGCATCTGAATTTGCATGGACTGGAGCGACCCAACTGCCGTGCTGTCTCTGCAAATTTAGGACAGATTATTTTATCTGGAGGCTTTGATGTCAGATGATTATCAAGGGAAGGCAGATTTTTCTTTTTTAAATGAACAATGAATGGAAATACATGTGAAGAAGCCATGTTATACCCGAGCACAGAGTCTAAAAATGCTAATAATACAATAAATATTAACCCCTATTCCCCTGGTTCATGCACAAAAATGAGACAGAAACATGATTTTAGATGTATGCTGAGCGACAGGGATGGATGTTGCATCCTGAGTTATTTTCAACCATCGCTCCCTTTCGGTTATCTGCTGCAACCACTGTATTTTTCACAAAGGCAATTAGAGGCCAGAAACATGAGTATGTATGCAGCAGGAGCAGCTCCAGCAGTAGCAGTAACAGCATCTCGGCTGAGGAGAAGAGGGAGGAAATAGGGAAGGCATGCTGTCCAATCCCAACAGAATATTGATGCATCAATCATACAGGCTCACACAGTACACTCACAAGCATCCAATTCATATAATAGAGCATGCGCTTGTGGATGTATTTCTCAAGGACAGAGATGAAAGCACGCTGAAATATTGTATTTTGCACACACACACACTCGTCAGAGGAACAGGAACAGAACCATGCAGAATTGTGATTGAAAAAAACAACAATAACAATAAAAGACTGAAAAAATAACTATGTAAAATGTACAGTTTAAAAAAAAAAGAAAAGAAAAAAAGAAAAACCAAACGCATGCCTGCACTCCCGAACATGGCAGATAACTGAATTAGAGGAGGACAGCAACACTAGAGAGGTAACAATAGAAATCCTGCTCATCATCGCTCGGCTCAAATGGGGGCTTTGAAAGCCCCGCTACTCTCTCTGAGGGGGCTGCAATCGTTCCAGCGGAATACTAGAGGGATAGAGGGTAATCCTCAAAGATGTACAACGCAGCTGAGAGCCGCCTGATTGACTGTGCGTGTGTGTGTGAGCGGAAGGGTGTCAGTGTGTGCATGTGATGCTCCATGCCAGTGCTATCTCCTAACAAGCCTGCCTCTTCCCTGACTAATCTGGCAAAGATTCCCTCTCATCTGTTACAACACACACACCTACACACTCCCTCACTCCCCTGCTCTCACTCTCTCGCACACACACACACACACACACAGAGACAGACACGAATAAACTCACAGACACTCGCTCTCTTTCCCTGGCGCGCGCACACACACAAACACACACATTGACGCGCACACACATTTTATCCATCTCTTCCTCTCTTCCCATGCGATGTAGCCTGGCTGAATCCTGAGCCTGAGAAGAAAGACATGGAGGAGGATATTTACCTGACTGCAATCTGCAGGCTGGCTATCAGGATCGGCTGCAGCTGTGGGGGAGAGAATTAGCAAGCCAGCATAGCGGCGAGCTGCTAGTCTCTTCATCAGCTGATCACTCAGAAGCAGAGCCCAGAAGGGGGGAGAATAAAAGCGCTATGTTTTCATATACAAATCAATGGGCTGGGGGAAAATAGAAATGCCATACCCATCTCCTGTCTGCAGCTCTCCGAAGTCTTTTTCCTGACTCTGGAAGGCCCCGAGCTTGTCTCCCTCTGCATGTTTTTAATATCGACTGCTGCCAGACGTTTTTTTCCCCTCTTCCTACCCTGCTGTTAAAGTTATCGGGTCCATTTTTTATTTTTTATTTTTTTATTAAAATGTTGCATTGCATTTCAGAGGGGGACGTGCCGTTTTATGTCAACTAATATGCAGTGGTCTTAGGAACATGAATCCAGCCTGCAGCAGCACAGGGCATGCATGGTTCATACGGTGTGAGCACTTTGGTGTCAGCGCGCAATCGCCACGGGGAACGGAGGGTCACGTCCACTCTAATATAATATGGAAATATGCTCACCTCCCCCTCCCCCTCCCAATATTTGTAATAACGAGACACGTCATCAGATCCCCCCCCCTGGGAGAAAAGCTATTCCTTCCCCTTCAAATTACTGTGTTAAACCCCACTCCAAGACGCACTGGATGCTTATGGCGGTCACTGAACTCCTCCTGCTCCATGTTGGTGTTCACGTCAACCAGCAACAGTGAACACAACAGCTGTGAGCGGGCTCAGGATGCTGCCAAAGTTTTTTGGTCGTTCTGTAATCCCCCCAGCGCGCCACGCAGAGGTTCTTTGACACAGTTCACTCGCAGGTAAAACACAGTCTGCGTGAGTGCAACCATCTCAGGAACACATGTCAGACACAAACCACCTTTGAGGCACACGGGGCTTGCGGGTGGCGCACTCTGAAATGTGTTTGTGCAACAGGAGCGCATTGTCTGTGGCGCATGGTCCTAATTGCCGACGTGTAGCTGATGGTCAGGGAGGAAGACGCAGCGTTTGTTCGGTTTTTTACAATGCGAACCCTCCTGCGGACTTTGTGCCAGGCTTGTGCGCATTTGGATACAAAGAGGAGCCAGACTGAGCGGCGAGATAATTGGCTACTTAATGCCTCTACATTAAGGCGACCTGCTGATTCTGGTGTGGCAGAGATCGAATGAGCACAGACACAGCTCGATATTGATTATTAGTGCTTTATTTAACTTGGTGATGGATGTTCCTTACAGCAACCTTTAAATAATATAAGTTAAACCCCGCCCCCGTTAACGTCTGGCTCAAGATTTCGCCCTTTGAGTGCAGCCCCAGAATTCCGGCAGGGTGATTAATGCATTAATATCGACTCAGATTACACTTTAGGTTTCTGTGCCAAGAAAGCCAGGAAAAAATAACTCTGCAACACTGAGCTGTAACAATCGCAACAGTGGACTTTCTCTACTTTGGGCTGATATGCAAGCACATCTGGTTTCTGTGACTCAGTTCGTGTTTCTCCCCCCCTGCAAAAGGCTGCTGGGAAACAGCTCACAATGTCACAGCTCACAACACAGGAAATGAAGGACGCACAAGAACACAGGGAAGGAGTAAAAGATCCTGTTGCATTCTCCTAAATAAGGTCAAACTTATGACACTTCTGTGGCTTGGGACTGGAATTCAATGGAACCAGAGAGAAATCATGATGCACATGAGCTGAACAGGCAGTCCACAGCAGTGCTTTCATGCCACACAGTTAAGTAGATCTTTTAGCAGCTGGCCAAGGCCATTTATCATGCTTAACTTTTCCACAGTATATTTCTTACTCATATAACCATACAGGACGTAATGCCAAACAGTTTAGCAAACAGTTTAAATATAACTGTATTAAACACATTTAAGTTTATTTATTAAAGCCCTTGGCTGGTTTCCAATCTTAGGAATGTATTTATAAGATTATTATTTAGGAATGAATAAGCAACAAAGTTAAAGTTTGGGGAGGGAAAATGTGGTCTGATCACATTTGATTGGCCGTGCCCTGGCAACATGAGCAAACCAGTTCACAACTACAGTCAAATGTAGTTAAATCCTGAGTAAGATATCACCTTTTTCCCACTGAGCCCCGCCCACTTCAAACAGTAAGAGAACCACTGATAAAACCACACACAGAAATCTCTAATGGAAAAACAAACCAAGACTGCTTTGGAAGAAAGTATTGTATTCATGCAGTAGGACAACAACACTCGTAGTAAGATGCTGCATGAAAAAAAACCTCAATGTTTTCAGGGCCTTTAAGTAACTCCAGCAATACATCTAAAGGTGACCGCTTGCTACAGACAAATAAGGTCTACACTTAACCAAAACTCACAACCCTCTCTTATGTGATGTTAGCATGTCTTTTCAAAATTTCATTACCAGTTTATAACAACTTCAAGCAAATCATCTAACAACTAAAATGATGAGCATTTTAATATCAACATGGTTTCCTCAACATCTTGTTTCATGTATACTGTAATGCATTGTTATATTAATGTGTAATTTACTATACATGTGTGGTGGTTTTAAAGCAGGGTATCAGTAGAATTTACTGGAATTTAATAACTAGACCATTCTGTATTTTATTGTCTAATATGTAAGATGGTTCAAAGTCTAACTGGAATCACATTTAGTAATCTCTTTTTGCAGTAAAAAATATATTTTTTAATGTATTCATATTTTTTTGGTCTGGGCAAATATTGGAATCACCTCTTTTCCCCTGATTGACAGCAGGTGGCAGGCTGAGTCCCAGCAGGGGAAGAGGGACAAAGTACACAAACTTCCACTGTAGCCTACAAGCCATGGGCAGACAGTTTGTTGTTAGCAGTTGTATTAAAGGACCAGTTTGTAAGATTTAGTGGCATCTAGTGGTGTAGTTGCAGGTAGCAATTCCCTCACTTCACCCAAATCTTATTTTCAGGTGATTATACACTCATGACAACATAGTTATGCATATTATTATTCCATTTCTGCTAATCCTCCTAACTGTTACACACCAGACCTTTAAAGATTATCTGAATGGACCGAAGTGCAAGGTACTGCAGCTGACAAGCTAATTAGCTATTTAGTCTGCAAACTGACGTTGGCAATGCACTTCCATCTACCTAGATGGAAAACATTTAACAGCATTAAGGTGAATTAATGCAAAGATAGAGGGTCTTTGATTTTTTTCTCAAAGGCAGCATGTGATGTACAAAAGCAGATGTGTATGCTGTAGCAGGCAAAAAAGATGCACCTTAACATGAGTTGGATTTTAAGGTGATAGGAGGATGCATTGTGTCCTGTATGTACAGTTATAAGATGCACATGTTGCAGAGTAGAGGAATTAGAATTAGATGAAACTGCAGGAACCCTAACATGTACAGAAAGAAAGAGCACACCACTTGCAGGCTTGAAATAATAAATCTTTAGCCAGCATATTAATCAATAGCCCAAGGATGTCAAGAGCACTGTGACGCCCCTCCCACTGTATTGGAGGCTGTTCTGGCTAACATCACCAAGCAATTGGCTGTTGTTGGCTGTTTTAGCTCAGGCCCTTTGTCTATAAACGCCGGCCCATGTCTGACTGCCAACATTGCTGACGTTCACACCCCATTGTTTATTTGTGTTAACTATAGTTGAATAAATTAACTACTCGTTTTAAGTAAATCTGATGAGTGGACTCGCTGCTTGTCACATTCCCTGAGCCAGTTTGTGACAAGCATGCTACAAATTGTACTGTAAACAGGCATGCCAGTTTCGTATGCCAGTTATTATCGTTTTAAAAAATGAAAATAAGATTCAAGCCCTCGTTATTGTTTTGCTTTTGAAAATGGCTTATATGAAAATCTATTCTGGTAAATAATAAGGCACAGTGAAGTTTGTACTCAAAGAGCATGCTGATGTGAAATGACTGCATTAAGTAACCCTGGTGAAATAAAGATATCATTTCAGTGTTATGTTCCCATGAACCACTTGCTCAAAACTGCCGACTGTTACCATGGCAACTGCAAATTGTGATGGTGGACCTTGTATATCATTGTATTTTATTGCTGTCGCTGGGAAATGACTGAGAGTGCTCTCAGTCACCCATGCACAAGCTCTCAGTAATGGGACACACTGACATTCTGTGAAGAATGACAACATCATTTTATACATCTACCTTGTCTTTTCGTGGAAGCTTTCCATTTTCTACACCCAGGCACCGCTTTTAAAACCTTTGCAAATAGGCAAAATGTAAATCATCTGGTAAATGAAGAAAACAAAAACACAGGGATTGACCAGGTCACTGCATGTTTCACTAATGTCAAAATTATCTTTAAATCTTTTGCGAATAATTAAAAAACTAATAGTGAGAAAATTAACATGTCACACTTTGTGATTTCTTATATTTTATACCATATCACATATTCATTCACCATCAGTGTTCTTATGTAAAAATCAACAATGACAGTCTCTCAGTTGCAGGGCTGATGCAGAATTGAATTATTGTCCCACATTTAATTGCCTCACAAACACTCTCTTCTAGCCAAGTCCAGGGAATATTTATTAGAACCTGAACTATACCAGGGTGCAGCTTAGTCTGAATGTTTGATAAATGATTCATCTTACTCAAAGCTGAAATTCAGTTTTAATTTGCAGTGGTGCACACATGGATGGTGCCCAGCACCCTTTGATCAGTAATGCAGGCTGTGAGTTGCTCTGTCATGCGAAAAAGCCAGCTAACAATGAGCCAGTGGTTTATATCTGTCTACAGAAAAGATGTTTGAAATTTGAAGCATCTTTCTGCCCTATCCTTATGAAATAGTCAACTAAAACTCACTGAAAAAAAACAATAGTAAAACAAGTCGGGACATCGTGGACAATATCTGGTGAGGTGGAAGGAAAAGAGCGGTGAGGGAGGCGAGCAGTTTCTGTCTTAGAGAACAGAAAGCTGGGTGTCAAGGGCTGAATCAAACTGGTGTCTGACTGACTAATAATGGGAGAATGGAGTGTTGATGACCCACCGAAGGCTCAGCAGACATTTTCTTCAACTGAAACCTGCTGAAATAGAAAACCAGTTGAATGTAGAAAGAAAGTCCACCTGATTTTTAAAATTTTAAGATTTTTATTTTCAGAATGGTTAACAAAATCAAGCCTGTATAGCAAACTATTGATATTTGATATATTTGCTCATATATCTTTTGGTTTGATGCTACTGTACCGTATACATTTTTTGTATCTTTTTTTGCAATTATAAAATATTGAAATTCTAAATGTTATTAACAAAAGAGAATTAAAAAAATTAAAGCAACTTTGCAGTGATAGTA